AAGTAAACGAACTTACGTAACTTTACTTACTTAACGTAAGTTAGTTAGTAGTTACGTCGTACGGTAGTAAGGTTACGTAGTAGTTAGTTAGTAAGTAGTAATAGTAGACAACCACTCGCTCTCTCTCTCTCTCTCTCTCTCTCTCTCTCTCTCTCTCTCTCTTTTGGACAGGCTGACAGTTCTATCTTCTATATTGTTTCTGACCCTGTTTCATTTTCTTCTCCTTTGTCTCCTTCTAACTTTTATCTTTTTGGAGTTCAAGGAAACAGTGATAATGCCTCTCGAAGGAACAAAAGTAACTCTAGAATTTGGAAATAGAGAGACCTCCTATAGTATTGTGAGCTTTTCTTATTATGAGGGATTCCATGATGAGTTTTATTTACATGAATCTCACAAAAGGATTGACTCTCCCCTTTTACTGAGGGCAGGAAGGTCCAATAAACTTGCAATATTCTTCCAACTAAATGGAGTCAGAGAAGAAATGCCAACATTGCCCATGTCAATAATCAAAGCAAAACTACCTTTTCGTAAGTTCTATCATTCAGTCGGAAATTAGTTGATGAAAACATGAAATGTTTAGTGATAAGTTGCGCTGTGCACAATCATGTTCAAATGTCAAGAGTGCCATAATGAGCCATATTAATTCAAATATCTATAGTAACATTTATCTCTTATGTCAAACTTTGAAGAAAAAAGTTTGAGAAAGCACTTCACCAAATCTCTTTTGCTTTTTTATTCTCTTATTCTTCATTGAGACAATTTTTATGTGGTGCCTTTTAGATTCTGGATGTGCCAAGCCTGCTGGAGGAAGGATCAACCGTTGGGAAGAGAAATAATTTGAAACCAAAACCTGAAGAGCAAACACCCACAATCCAAAGCACCTGTTGCTATTAACGGTCACTATGAGATCCAAAAGCCAAAGATGAAGTGATAGTTATGCTTTATGTACCAGGAGTTGAATAGGCCAACATGAAAAGTATGCAATCCTCGTCATTCCCTCTACTTCCTATGTTTTTTTTGTAATATTTCCCCTTCTTCTTGGCATCAATTTGGGGTACACATTTGCTATGCAATTTGCACCCATTCATGCGAAGAATGAGGTTGAGCCTTACATATTACACCAGGTTGTTTGTACAACAGTTGTAAGAGATAATAGCAGGAATGAAGGGCCATCCTGTTGATTGTCTGTGTGCAAAGTTGAGGTTTCCAACTCCTGAGATGTTAATAGTAGGAGCCAAGAGTCTCTCCTCGTAATCTTTGTGTGTGAAATTTGTTGTTTGATTCTTTTCTCATGAGATTTATAACGTGTTGAGAAGAAGTTCATGATTCATATATGATGTCTGAGCCCTTTTTCTTTCTTCTTTCTTGAAAGATGAGTTAAAAAGGGTTTTATGGGGAACCCATGAGCCTCACACTTGGAGACTCAGTGCATGAAAACCAGATCGAAGATGGTTACAGGCATTTATGCATGCATGTACACATGATCAATTGACCTATATATGTAGGCCTGAGAATGGCTCTCAAGTTTCAATATGTTAGGAGCACCATGGAGTCATGTGCAAACTGCTGTCTGATATTCACTCACTCTGCCCTATATTTCCTGATTTTCAAGTGTGATTATTTCTATTGGATTTAGGGAAGGAAAAGTTTAAAATAAGGCCTGGGGCTCATGGAAAAAAGTAATGCCTCGCATCGAAACTCCCTGTAAATTATAGTTCCGGCGTCGGAAATCCTTCTAATCAGTCATCTCGACCTTGACCATTATCATTAAAAAAATAGGATTTGGAGCCTTAAAAATAGTGTATATTGTAATACTATTTAGACTGTCCATTTTCAAGGCTTCTCGGATCCACAAGTTTGGGATCATTTTTTGAGCTACAAATTTGATAACTGGTGGAGGAAATTGATTTTAGAGCCATCATAGAGATTTCCCATGCCCAAAGTGTTTTCTAGACTTCTCTTCTATTCATAGAAACTGTATCCTTCAGATAAATATTGATAATACAATGGTCGATGATTGTACTCCATCATGTCTAATCAAAAATTCAAATTTCCGTCAAGTCGAATGTGTTTGATGGTCAGACTCGTTACAAGCATATTTGCTGTTGAAATGGCTGATTTTGAGGCAAAAATTTCAGGTGAAACATTTATATCAAATCAAGCCACGACCAGAATTTTCTCATATTCTGTTGATATTTAGCTGAAGAAATGCACTTACGATTACTAATGAAGGTTCCATGTTTTCCAAATAGAAACTGAATTTCAGATTTCAGATCGTCCTCTGTTTATGTAGCTCACGGACAAGTTTCTTATACCATGTTATTCAGACAACCAAAAAAATTCTCCTGCAATGTATCATCATAAGTTGCGAGTATAAACTATCATCATCATCCAAGTTTTATCTCAATTATTTCAGGTTGGTTTGGCAGTACACGTGATTATTAATTTTATTAAAAAACAAACAGGCTATTATTAATTTTATTAAAAAACAAACGCTTAATGAAGGTGATTTCCATTTTAAAATCTGTTTTGATATTAGTAACTGTAGCAAAGTCGCACTATTTTCCAAGTCATTCTCCCAAACCAGATTATGAAAATACGGAATTTTGGGAAATTGGCTCGACAATAGCTCCTGATTTTAATAATAAATTGATATCAAGAACATACAAAATTACCAATTTTGCAAGGCTGTTTCTGTAGAAAGCCAGGACATCAAAACCTGCAAATCAAAACCTGCAAAAAGGAGAAGGAAAGAGAACTATCAGAAAAATAATTCAGAAACATAGGTCCCTGGTTTTGAAAAAGAAACTTAAAGAGTCGATGAAATATGTGTGAGAGAGAGAGAGTCATGAACTGGCTTTTGTGTGTGGAGTGCGTTGGGTCGGTGTTCCAGGACATCAAAACCTGCAAAAAGGAGAAAGAAAGAGAACTATCAGAAAAACAATTCAGAAACATGGGTCCCTTGGTTTTGAAAAAGAAACTTGAAGAGTTGATGAAATATGTGAGAGAGAGAGCCATGAACTGGCTTTTGTTTGTGCAGTGGGTTGGGTTGGTGTTCCAGGACATCAAAACCTGCAAAAAGGAGAAAGAAAGAGAACTATCAGCTGGGTCCCTGGTTTTGAAAAAGAAACTTAAAGAGTTGATGAAATATGCGAGAGAGAGTCATGAACTGGCTTTTGTTTGTGGAGTGGAGTGGGTTGGGTTGGTGTTCCGGGACGTCAAAACCTCCAAAAAGGAGAAAGAAAGAGAACTATCAGAAAAACAATTTAGAAACATGGGTCCCTGGTTTTGAAAAAGGAGGAGTTGATGAAATATGTGAGAAAGAGTCACGAATTGGCTTTTGTTTGTGGTGTGGGTTGGGTTGGGTTTGATTTTATGCATTTAGAGTCCATGCAAATTGAAGGATATTGTTGGTTTAGAATAAGTTTAATCTTAGAAAAAATATGTCAACTATTTTATTAAAAGTTAAAAAAAAATTAAAAAAAATCTCTGCTTTGTTCGATAAGGATTCTCGTGAAAAGGGAATGTCATCTATGAAATCTCTAGATTTGAATACCACTTGAGATGTATTGGCTTCTTGCAATATGTTGGAAAATGTTCAAGTTTGTGAGGGTTCTAATTAGGAAATTATATCCCTTGGTTTAAATTTTGAGTTCGAAAAGACCGGTCAGTGGCAGCAACCAGTGCTCTAGAAATTTGAAAAGAGACATTTAAATTAGAAAATTTATGTAAGTGCGAGACTCTAAACAATTAAATTAAGGCGCACTTCGAAAATTTCACTGTAAGAGGTTGTTTTGATGCCCAAATATCCTCAAATTGATCACCTCGACCTCAAGATGCATGGACATGAGAAAAAAAAAAAAATTTCAAGTTTTAGAAATACTATAGCTTGTAATACATTTTTGGACCTCTAATTTTTAAGATTTTCAAGTTTTCATAGATCTGCTCGATCTACACTATTTTTTAAGCTTTAACTTTTATAGTTAGAGATGAAAATATATATTAAGGTTAATAAAAAGATTTTAATATTGAAACCACATTTCTCTACACTATTTGAAGGTGCGCTTTACTTTGATTATTTAGAGCCCCGGCTTTAGACAGACCGCACCCATTAAATAATTGTTCGTGTTACTCCCAATAAATCCTTCTCATAATAATAATAAGGAAAAAATATATAATAAGACTTGCAAGGTGGTGATAATTAATCTCGACCATTAGATGTGAAATTAGATGGTTGTATTTATTCCATGGACCAAGCTCAAACTTCAAAAAAAATTCACACTTTGTGACACACCTAAGCTATCAGATTTCACATTGGATGGTTGTAAGTAATTACGACCTCCTTGTATCAAAGGCAAATGATCTCATTATATACAATCCCCAATAATAATAACATAAATAAAAATATTATTAGGAATTATAGTGATTATAAAAATAGTTAAGAAAACTATAAAAGGAGTGGTTGAAATCCCTTACAATGGCTTACAATAGCACTAAAAGGGGGTCCAAAGATTACATATTACAGAAGGATGTTTTCAAATTTCTATATCTATCAGTACCTCAAAAAAAAGTCGAAAAAAAAAACTCAAATTAACCTTGTTCTATGTTGAGAAGCCTGAATAATTAAGAGTACTTTGATCATTTTACTACCAATTTAGTGGTGGCAATTGGGTCGGGTCGACACTGGGTCTAGATCCATGTTTTGGACCCGGTGCGTCGGGTTCCAGGTCCAAATGCTTGGACTCAAACTGACTGACCTGGTATAAAATATACAAAAAATACGTAAAATATAACAATACAAACATACATTATATAAATGGAACTTCTATTTTTTTGAAAATCTAAGGTCGGGCCTAGGTCCAAATGACTTGGACCTGAGCCACGTTTGGGTCCAAGTCAACCCGACCTAGGTTTGGATTCAAGTCATTTGGACCCAACCTAGGTCGGGTCCATGTAGAACTTAGTTGGGTCGGGTCTGGGACCAGTTGGATTTGACTTGAACCGACCCGACCCTTTGCCACCCCTAACCCAATTATCATTCGGTAACATTCTCTTTAAGGTAAAAATATCAAGGTACCCGAAATTGTTTGGAAATTCTTCAATAAGGTTTTTAAAGATTTTCCAAATTGATATCGAAATTTAAAAGCATGCACTCAAGTGTAATTTATCATGGTTTGCATTGACCACTTTAGTGATATTATTAGGGGTTATAACTCCTTTTTTTAACATTTTCCCAAATGATCTTAAACAATTAAAATAATGCGCACTTTCAAAAGATATAATTCCCATGTCAAAAAGTCTTGCAATGGCCTGAAAATATATTTTTACTCTAAATATGAATTGTAAGCTCCAAAATTGATGCAATTGCATAAACACTTGAAAATAGGTAGTCTCGATAATACGTTACAAGATGTGTTGTTTTTATGACTTGAAATATTTTTTTTCTGTATATCTTTATATTTCTAGGTCAAAATGGACAATAAAGGGGTTTTCTAACTTCAAAACAACTTTTTGAGTGGATTTTTTAGGTGCACTTTATTTCTATAGTATAAAGTTGACAACCTTACATCAATTTTTTCCTATTATTATTTGCTCTAGAAGTAGTTTTCTGGATTCGTTTTACTACTAAATATTTATTAGTCGGGGAAAATATCATGGAAAAGGTCAAACTACCAATGAGGATAAGTCTACAACTTTACTAACAACGAGGTTACTTCGTTTAATTCTTGTCACTCAGTAAATCTAGAGAAATTTTGTTATAAAAAAAAAAACCTCTTAAGTACACTTGCTTCCCATATGTTACCCTGAACAAGTGAGTACACTTCGATATTTGACCCACTTAAGTCATTTGGACCGAGGATCTAGATACCCCACTTATTCTAGGTTCCAAACTCGAGCTATATTTTTTATGTGAAAGGAGTTTGAGAAATTAAATCTAGCCACTTTTCGATTTTTTATAAATAAAATATAAAAATATAAAAATATAAAAATATAAAAAAAAAAACCAACAATAAAAAATAATAAATTGTTGTAAATCAAACCAACGGAAAAAAAAAAAACACTCTCTTATTTCTTTCATAAATTAATTATTTACAAACAAATATCCAAGTCCCCAAAATATATGTAAGCATCTCCCCCTTCAATACAATAACTCTATCTCTCTCTCTCTAAAAATCTAGGAGTTTCTCCCTTAAGCTCATCCTCCATTCTCATTAAGTCCTTTTCTATAACTAATTAAGGATAATCACATTAATCCTAGAAGAGATAAGAAATTTTCCGCAAAATCCTATCCCTTGGACATCACATGACCAATCCTCTACTCAACTTTCTCTTTCTAATTAGCTAACAATTCCCACCAAAGTAGAATAATGAAACCTACAAACTAAAAAAAGCCATCCATGCCCCTTTTAAACTAAAACCCATTAAATTATCTCATGTACCTACTCCTTTAATCCCAATATAATCATAAAAATAAATAAACAAGTCCAATCACATTCTCTAATAAAAATAAAATAAATTAAAATTAGCTATGTTCTTAAACATCCCAAATGTGATTTGCATCATACTTGACAAAAAAACTTGCCCTCGAGTTTTTTATTGTTGATCACCATCTCCTCCCTTTGTTGATGGTGAAGCATTATATCTCCACACAGTTGGTCTTTATAAGGTATGAAGCCGAACAACCGAGATGCACCTTCAACGGGACCCATTTGGTATATACAGTGGGCAATGCATTGATGATCAAGAGTTTCAAGTCGAATGGGGTCGCTGGAGAAAAAACATCACTTCCAACCGAAGAAGTTTGACTTCACATCAAAGAAGTCTTCTTCCAAGTACGGTCCAAATCCACCTGAGAATAGAACTCTAGTTCCATGTCAAAAAGATTCCTATGCGCTAGATCTTAAACTTCATCACATGCAGCTGAACCTAGGTAGCCAATTCTCTTAAGGAAGTCTTCTCCCAAGTGTTGTAAAAAAACCAGAGAAAAGATTCGAGTGCCATTTTAGAAATATTCTTATGCCCTAGATCTAAAACCTATGTAGCCAATTCTCTTAAAACTCATCAAGTCATCCTTGTCCATCTCACCATTTGAATGTACAATGAGAAAAGAACTCACCAAAATTAGGTCAAAACCAAGTTCCAACTTTAGCGCTTGTGCACAATTTCCCGTAAATGAGCCTTTTCAGGCAATTATAAGCTCTTAAAATGAATCACGAGAAAGTGCTCATTGGAACCAAACCTAGTTTTGCACATCTCTATTGAAACTTTAATCAAAAGAATATATTCACCATCTCTAAGCCTTTCCAAAAAACAAGAAGATGCTTAACATACCGTGAAAGACTTATAGTGTTGTTTGCACTAGAGGGACGTACTCCAAATCTATTGACCAAGAAAAATAGCCTTCCCCAAGGAGCTCTATGCGTTCATACCAGCACCAACAACCATTGTCAAGATAAATTCATCAAGTAGAGCAATATGTATAATTGTAAAAGAAAATCAGCAATGGCCTTCTCATGATACGGGACCTCTTCAACTTGATAGCCCCTCATAGATTTGTTTCTTTTCTTGCATGTGTACCCTCCTATAGAAAGTATTAATCGAGTTGAACTAGTCGCCTTACAGCATAACGTAGGATGAAACTGATTGTCACCAACAACACCAAAACTATCACAACATGGATCGAAAGGAGGGATTACAAGGATCAAATTTAGGCCTTTCCAGAACTCACATGAAAATACAACTTTAACTTCCATTTAACTGCATATCTTTATTGCAAAGAAGAAGGGAATGGGTTGAAAACTAAAATTTGCGTGAGTAAGGGCAGGTTGATTGCAAGTAATACCAATGTAAATGGATTTGCCTCCCTTTAATAGAGAGAGACAGTAGTGCCCATCATCAATGCACTCTTGCAGCAAATTATCGTCTTCGCATATTTTGAACGTGTGAAATCTACAACAGTAACCATTAGTTTCCACACAACATGATGTTGTTGGACTTCAAAGTTACCTCACCAATTATGAAATGGTTTCAATAAATGATCGCACCACCCAAATTCGTCACAAGCATTCTACACGTCATGGTTAGGCTTTTTCGAAACAGACAACCAATTATGACTTTCCACATTCATACATCACCTCCGCTAGACATCTCCATTGTTTATTAATAGCAGTACCAACATTAACCACATCATCAATTCTTCCCTTGATAGGTTGTCTGATAATGAGCTACATATTCCTCTTTGGAAGATTTGGGCAGAGTCTCCTCATTTAGTGGTAATGAAGATAGTTTATGTCTGACCATCGACCCTTTCCTTTGATCAGAA